CTAATACTGTGCCAACACCTCATTTACAATTTTTAACTTTCGTTAACTTTCATATGTTGTCTCTATCAGCTGTTTTAAGGAAGATCTGAGTTTTTGTTTTTGTTTATTTTGCAAAAGTAAAAATTAATTTTGTTAGATTAAAAAATTTTTAAAGTAACATAAAGTGGACTTTAGCGTTTAAAATCGGGCACCGTTTTTGATCATTTTGTTTTATTTATGATCAAAAGCTCGATTGTTCATACATTGAAGTTTAAAATTAACTTTTTGCGATTGAAAAAAGAAACAAAACAATTAATAAGTTGCGGAGTGATCACCTTTCACGCCTTTCATACAATCGATTAGAATGTTTTTATTGCTACTTATGGGTTAACTTAAATTAAATTATTAAAATTAAAATTAAAATTACTGATCAAAATTTTGAATGGCGTCAATGGATGCCATTATAGGAGTCTCACAGCAATCGAAATATATATTTGTTGAAATCACAATTACTTTATATAGGTATATAGTAAATTTGTTGGTACAGTTCCATTTAAAACTGTGTAAAATTGGTAGAAATTTGTGCAATTCAGTATTGTGTTGTGATATGAACATTATTGTATAGTACAAGTTGTGATATGAACATTATTGTATAGTACAATTTGGGAAATGAAGGAAATTTGGATGTAAAATTAAAGAAAACTTTCATATTTCATATTTACAGCGCCACGTAAATATTTTTGCACAGAACTCTCACGGCCTTCTTTTCGGACACTGAAGAATTATTGTGAATGCACAGAATAGAATTTTTATTAGTACTTAATGAAAACTATAAATCATTGATTGAGAACAAACAAGTACTTCTGATTAATTAAAGGTTGTGCTTATCCACAAGTATTTATGTTCATGATTGAGTAAATAGGCCTAATCGCTCCACATTTATTGATTAATATGTGATTTATTGACTACTATGGACTGAAGAGCAACTGATTGCAAAAGTAAACGTGCTCGTATTATAACATATTATAACAGAACCAACATTAACAGTACTGAATCGGAGCTCAAACTTAGACTTGCTTATTTATATTAATAAGTGAACGTTCAAATTTTATAAATTTCACTTAATAAGATATCACATAAAAAAGAGAATTCATAATTGATATATTAAATCATTGACATAAATTTTATGTATAAATCACAAATTCAATTAATAAAAACAAAGATTTTATTATATACCTACTTCCTCAATGCCTTTTTTTTTCAGCTCAGCTGTTGTTTGTTTACATATTGCATATAAAACATGACACATATTTCAAATTTTAGTATTTTCCCTTATGGGGGAAATTTATTTTTAAATTATTTAAATTTTTTTTTTAAATGAGCTGATTTATTGATAATAACTTATTTATATAAAAGCTTTTTGTATGGCAAATCATCTTCATTAGTGGCTATAATGAGGAAAACCACCTAAATGAGAAAGTGTTAATGTGCTTTAAAAGTTGTATTCAAACACCAAATGGAGTTGTAAAGCCTTATCTTCTTCAGTAAGTTCTTCAGTCAACAACAAATATTTTGAGGCCTTGTAAAAATATGGAAATCTATGAAAGTGGCCTGAAAGTAAACAGTTACTGATGTGTTGTTACTTTTTGCTAGTGTGTTACTGTGTCCTCAAACTTTTGTTGTTTAATGTAAACAGCAACACACGAAAATGCAACACTGGTGCTCAGTCAGCTGTTGTCAACCGCTAATTATTAGGTCTGTTGCACGAGCTACTTATAGTAACTTTGAGTAACACTGTGTATACACAAGTGCGTTCCACCAGCAAATTTGTGAGTAAATGAGAGCATCTGAGAGAGCGTAACATCCCTGTTGAAATTTGAAAATGTTACCCATGCATTTCATATGAAGTAAAATTTGTGTTGATGTCTAAATCAGCTGTTATGGTTTGAATTCAAATTTTTGTATTGTTTGTTTGCGCGGCATTTGTGAATGTAAAAAAACTCTGCATTTTTAATTGAAACAACAGTGATAAATAAATATTGAAATAGATAAAAACATAATAAATATTTTATTAAGTGATTTAAGTAACACAACACAACCAGAATATAACGTGGTTAATACACTTCGAGATAGTGACTCTGACGATGATGTAGAATTGGTGTATTCGATATTACCATACATAAAAAAAAAAGAAAACGTGTGTGTATAAAAAATTATATACAAGATGTTATCTCCAAATATCCCGACAAGGAGTTCAAAACTCATTTCCGCATTTCGCGGAGTCTTTCGTCATGAAATTTCAAAATAGTAGCGACTTTATTGCACTGCGAGTGAGTAAGCGGAACATTTCTCCAGAAGCTCACGTTGATGTTTTTTATGGTTTGCTGGCCACGAAGCATGTTGTTTTAGAGATTTATCAGATCGCTTTAATCTCTTTTTATCGTTAGTAAACCGAGTTATAAGTAGGATGATAACTTTCTTTAGCAACATGTGGCCGGATATAATTGCATGGCCCAGCACATCAAAAAAGGAAGGAGGAAGTACAATTTTCCGAAGCTTATGCAATTTCCCAAAAGTTATAGGTAAGGATTTATGTGCATATTAACTGCGTATATATTAATACATGTTACTTTGCAGGTTGCCTAGATGGCACTTGTATAACTATTGATCCTCCTGGAGATCGTAAGGACGACTACATTGACAGAAAAGGAAATATTTCGTTATGCTTGCAAGCCATCTGTGATGAAAACAGAAAATTTATTAGCATATTTGTCGGACATTCAGGCTCCTGTCATGATAGTTGGGTCTTACAAGACTCGCCTATTTATATGCGACTACCATCGAAGTGTGGAGGTAAGTTCTTTGAAAAAAGAAATGAAATTTATTAAAACCTCTTACGTTTACAGAATACTATCTACTGACTGATTCCGCATACCCCTGTACACAACACATCATTACGCCATATAAAGACAACGGGCGTCTTACTCGTGCACAAAAGAATTTCAATAGAAAATGGGGGTCAGGTCGAATACTAATAGAAAATGCATTTGGTATTTTAAAACAACGTTTTAGACAGCTACTGTGTCACTTTATAAGAGTATGTTGTGTTTTGCACAATTTTGCAAATGGAAACGACTTAGAATTCACATTTTCAGAAGAATCTGAGGAAGATAATGATGTCAACAACCAGATCCCTTTTAGATCAAGTATCGTTAGAGATTCAATTTGTAATGAATTACAAACAGAAAATAACTTGGATTAAAGTGTTTATTTGTATATTGCTTATTTTTCATTAATTCATTTTATTAATATTGCAATAAAGAACTTAATTCTAATTAACATATTAACATCACATTTTATAAATATATACTTAATTCTATCTTAAAGTAGCTTTAAAATTACATTATTTAAATAAATTTTTAATTTTAACTAAACATATCATAAAGACTATAATATTAAAGCTAAATATATTTTTAACATAATAATAATAATATAATAATAATATGTGATATTTTAAAATAAGTTTAAAAATAAATAAATAAAATATATTAATTATTTTAATCTGAAAAAAATTATAAACTTTACATTTTCTTATAAATCACATGAAATGAATATTTATACTTTTTTACAATTTCACCAGTCTTTCATATTCACCAGTCTTTCTTATTCACCAGTCTTTCATATTCACCAGTCTTTCATTGTTTTCCTGCAATATTCGTTCAACATTTTTTTAATGTTGTAGACGGTCTTCCCTCATGCCAGCCAATATTGCAGTTGCATCACCGGTACCACGACTGGGTCTTTCCTCTATTTATAAAAAAAATTTTGAAATATTTTATATGTGATTAAATTAAATAACAACAGATATACCTTCATCTGTGGTACGGGCTGAAACAAAGCTAGTGCTACAAGACGCGCTCTCATCTAATAATAATAATACTCCTATTACTGGATAGTATTTCCCCCAGTTCACTAAAAAAAAGGAATCCATAGAAGTTTATAAGCGTTTAAAAATGCGAATTAAAATTATGTTTAATTAAAAAAAAACATAATTAAGTAACACATGCAGTTTTAATAGTGTGATTTTACCTTTGGTAAGGGGAAACCATCCGACTTCTTCCAGTTTGGCTGTTGTTCAACTTAACCTTTTTATACTGTCGGTCCATAGCCCTGAATTTCGATTGCACCTACGAACAACGTGATTAAATGATCTATAACTCTTAAACTTTATTTATGTAATAGTAATATACCTGAGTTGGAGTAAATAAGTAGCCTACATGAATGTGCCCTCATGGATGTGGAAATAAATTTCCACATCATGGCTTTACTCCTCAACTGTCGGCATTATCCAACCATTTTGAAGTTTGTGGAAATCAGTGACAACAACTCTTAAGTGGAATTGTGTGTCCATGTGCATTTTGGTTCTATATTTTCCTGCACACTGAACACTAATTCATCGCATCGCACCTCTTCAGCAACAAGCCGATGTGACATTTCATCATCTAACAGAAAATAAAATATTATTATTAGAATATTATTATAATAGAAAATTATTTAATGAATTGCGATTTACAATGTGTAAATACAATTTCTTACCATTTTGCAATTGCAAAAAAGTTTTGTTGAACATGAAACAATTGTTCTTTCCTCCATTTCGTCTTTAATAATAACACAAAATTAAATTTTTATAATAAATTTATATAACACCACTTTAACTAACTTTATTAAACCAAAATTCAAATTTAAATAAATTAATTTTAAATAATATTTAAAAATATTGAGTGCTTCTTGCTTTGAAATTCTTTGGTTTTCAAAATGTATTTTGTCTGTTATTTTTCAATTTCTATTTCTACTGTTTTGTAGTTCAAAAAACAGCTGTTCTCACCAGACTATACACAAAGCTGTTCCATGAAAATCTGTGTAAAGAGTGTAATCTGGCACTTTCTTTGTGTTGCGCTTATAGTTTGTGCTTTACTTGTGTTTTACTTGAGTTTTACTACGAGTAGTTCGTGGAACAGACCTATTGACAATAATCTATTCATGGAATTCGTGAGTGAAGTAATATACAGCGAAAGTTTAAATAAATAAAATAGTTATGTTTCGATTAATAAAATTAATCAATCGCCTTAATAAAACTGAGTTGAAACACCATTGAATTAACTACATTTAAAAGAATGAATCCTGGTGGGTGACGCTGAATTATGAAAAATGATTTAATGTACTATATCTTATAATTATTCATTTTCAATACAAGCTAATAATGTTATTAAATTTAATTAAGTTTAGAGTAATTAAAGTTATGAAAGTGAAAAATTAAAAAGCGTTTAGATTTTCAGTGACATACAGTGTTCATACAAAAGTTGCCTACATGCCTACAGTAGGCAGTAAGTAAAAATTGATCATCAAAAATCTAAGTCAGTGTTATTCAAAATAAATCCAAAATGTGATTTCATGTTCTTGATTTAATACAAATTAGTACAAATTCTCATCATAATATTTTAAAATATAAAAGAACTTAACATTTTCAGATATATGGATAACTCGCAGGATGTGTCTTGAAGAAGAGTGAAAATTTTAGCATATACAGGGTCAGCTTTCTCACAGCTTTCTCACTGTTCACATTGACCAATAAGGCCTTTAAAACTGCATATTGGAAGCTTCTGATCAACTAAGACCTTAATTGATAACACGTATTTCTTTAATCATATATCATATTTGTTGGTTTAATGAATATTTCATTGAATTTATATATTTTTGTTTATAGCACAATATGTATGCAGGAACCATTATTTTTAACACATCAATGCAAAGGCTAACGACTAGAACTTGGAAGGAATCGTTTTATATTTATTTAAAGTGTAAGTAATAATGAGAATTAATTAATTAATAATCTGATTAATCATTGAAGAATATATGAATTGACTTTGAATAAATGTGTGTGTTCAATATATGCCAGTTGTTAGCTAAGGATCTGTTCAGAGCTGTGTAGTTCATTTGTTATAATTTAGTTTAAATTATGCAGTCATTTAGTTGTCATATAGATGAAATTCAAACAGTTGCTTTAATAACAGCGCTCAATAACTAATATAATGTTTAAAGATGGTTGATATAATATATAACTTAGATTGGTATAAATTTGAAAATTTGCTTCTAAGCCCCTCAATGGGATTTATAATGTTATTGTTGGTAAGCTAAATAATCGGTTGATCATTTTTAGAAAGTTGTATACGTTGACCTGATAATATTTTCAATTATGTATTTCGTAATATTTTCGAAGTATACGAAATGTATAGAAATGTATAGAGATATATATATATATACACATCTATGCGTATATATTTTATGTCATAAAAAGAAAGGGTTTGGAAGCATCACTTGTAATCTTAAAACATGTGTAACATGAACCGTTTTTACGATTCTGTAATTCAATTCTATAATACGATTCTGTCGTAAGTAAAACGTTGGAAGACCAGCATTATATGTAAATATGTAAATTTTATGATCACTGTTAATATTGTATTTGGTCTGCATGAATAATCAATACCTTTTAAATTATAAAGAGTTCTGTCTATTCGCAGAACTTTTGGAAAGGAATTTGGACTGTTTCTTTAAATTTTATGTACGGTGTTATAAAGGTACGTAATGCGTACTAACAATATGCAATCTATATGTACCTTTATTTTGGCTTAAACTGTTGAGATTAAGTTATAAATGTTATACTAAAGAATTAGAAATTTCCTCTAACTTCTATTTCATGTGTATTATTTAAATTAAGTTTATAAAAATTGTAATTTACATTACATCTCACATCATACCGATCGGTGTTTAATTTAATGGTGGCTGACATATATATTTTTTGTATAATAAATTATTTAGTTGTCATCCAAAACTTCTTGGGTTTTTTATTAAAATGTTTAACTATTTAAAGAAAGGGAATTTCAAGAACTTCACATTTAAATGTCTTAAATATAAAAACTTTGCCAGTCGATATGCAAATAAAGAATATTGAGGATAAAATTTAAAATGATATTTACATTGGCACTCCCAGTCAGATTATAAGGCGTATTGATTAAAATATTGCTGATTTACAAATTAATGCTTCAGATTTAAGAGTAAATAAACACTTTTAATTATTAATATATTAGTGATGAATTTTATTGGTAAAAAATTTATTCCATATATATTTGAAAATATTACAAATTGGCTTAGATCTTAATATAGTGTTTCAATCCTAAAGAGAGCTCCACTTTATCAAGTGCAAAGTCAATGTACGATCACACCAAAATGTATGATCACACGCTGAATCAAAGGTTGAAATCAACTGTTTGCAAGTACTGAACTCTTAAATCCAGTACTTATGTTGACTTATTTGAACACGAGAACCACTGAGCACTTGAACCCAGTGATTTGACGATTGTCCTAAATTATCCTGATTACTGAACACTTGAATCCAGTAGGCAGGTGCTTATATGGTGTAAATTTGGTACTTGAACCAACTCTACAAGCTATTAGAACGAACAAGAAAGAATCGATAACGAATGTGGCTTCGCATCAATTGAATTGTCAAAAATTCAATTGTGCCTTTTATTTAAAATTGATAATTAATTTACAACAAATAAATTAACTAAAATAACCTTGACCATGCATGCCAAACAATGAACTTATTGCAAACTGCAAGAGTGCATTTTCTTGCAGACGAAATTTGACGCTTTTGTTTTCATGTGCCAACAGAAGCGTATGATGTACTTTGGGCATTGTATTGACAACGTTATTTTTTACACCAAATATATTTAACACAATTATTACAATACAAATAAAAATAACAAATTATTCATACAAAATTAATAACAACAAAATATTCATATATAATAATATAATATAATATAAACAAATATTCAACAGTCAACTTCTCCTCCATTACATTTGAGGTTTATAAATGAAGTTAGTTGAATTTAAGGAAGATTAGATTAGAATTGCTTATAGTATTGCCTTTCCAGTTTGTAGTTAATTTTTCGATGAAGTTTAAGAAATCATTACTTCTTAATGCTTTATAGTTCTTTACATGTATACAATCAATAATAATTGAACTTATCTACTACATGGTCATTTGATAAAAAAAAAATATTCTTTATCTGAAGACATGTCCTTAATTGTATTCAAATGTTACCCGCTTTCATTCCATTTGTCCTTAATATGATTCAAATATAGTTTTTGATCGTTAAAGCCTCTATGTCAATTGGCGTACGATACACGTATTTTTTTGAAAGGTTAATAGATTTCGTATATTATTGATGCAGTTTTGCTTCGTATTGTAGACATATATCTTATAAATTTACATTAAGACTGAAAAGTTTTCGGAAATTCTCATTTAAAATTCGCGCGCTGTATATTTTTCGATATTTTAAGTTTATGTAGTTTGGCAGCACTGTCCTTAATTACTATGCCAAAAATGAGCTCGATCTGTCAGACAGTTCGTTTACGGCAGCTGTTGAAACCAGTTCACCTCAGTAGTGCGTTGCGAAATGTCTTCGACGGTCGTACGACCGTCCTGGAAGGCTTTGTACCACTCATAAACTTGAGTTTTCGATAAAACTGATTCCCCATAAGCCTTTTGTAGCATTCGCAACGATTCTGCACACGAAATTTCGTTCGAAACACAAAATTTGATGCAAACTCTTTGTTCAATATTTTTTTCCATTGTTTTTTTCGCAACGCCCTACTGAGGTGAACTGGTTTCAACAGCTGCCGTAAACGAACTGTCTGACAGATCGCGCTCATTTTTGGCATAGTAATTAAGGACAGTGCTGCCAAACTACATAAACTTAAAATATCGAAAAATATACAGCGCGCGAATTTTAAATGAGAATTTCCGAAAACTTTTCGGTCTTAATGTACATGTATTTTAATTGCAATTAATTTTCATAGGAGGTTATTAATAGATATATACTTCTTATTTGCTATAATTTGCAAACTTTGAGACCAATTTTTTTAATTTTTTTCGTATTATCTTATCTTATAATTAATATATTTCAGTATCTGGTTTTTTTAAAACAGTGCTCATCCAATTATATATACGTGGTAATTTCATTTAATGTATTAAAGGTAAACTTGAATTTTACATTCATTAAATCTTCATTCTACTATTATAAGGTATTATCTTGGACTCTCTATTTAATTTTAGTCAATATAGTTAAGTCTATATGACAAGCTCTTAAAGTTTTTCGGCGCCCATGTGAGAACGAATTGTAATAGAGTCAGCTGCTATGAGTAACTTTCCACTAGGCTAAATATTGATTTAGCTGCTTTCTTGAGATGTTAATGTTAAAAGTTGTAAACATTTTACATCTTAAGAATTGTTCCGAATATCTAAATTAATCAAATTCGTAGTTATCGGATGAATTATTTGATATTATTGTTTGCAAATATTTTAGTTTAGATTATTATAACACATATCGAATTTCATAAGTTCAGATTTAAAACTGTTATATATAAGTATCTTGCGAATTTACATACAAACAAGGAATAATACTGTAATTATTAATAACAATGATATACACATTATTACATACTTTTCAGTAGATGATAATAGATGAATTTGGTTGAGTTTAGATGATTTTGAATCGAAGTGCGTGGTATATTCTTTCCAGTTTATAGTTTTTCTTTCGATAAGGTTTTAGAAATCATTACTCCTTAATATATATTTTATAATAATAACCCATCTACTATTCTATCAATAGTAACATAGTTTTCATCTAAAGGCATTTCTTAAATTATTTCTATATGTTACCTGTATTTTATTTTAGTCTTCAATATGATTCGAATATTTCGCAATTTTGATTATTGGAAGATCTTTATAATTTCGCGTATTCCACATACATCTTAATAAAAATTCAATTAATTAATTTAAATTTATTTTAATAAGTGTCTGCTAATACTACTAATAGTAGTTCTGCTAATAGTACTATTTGTTTCCTAACTTGTTGCAAATAGTTTTTTAAATTTGATTGTGATTCAGTAATCACTATGGCAACCTTTTGTGAATTTGTCTAGAAGGTTTTCATTATATTCTCTAGATGTATGACTAATAAACTATTTTTCATTTTTAGTTTCGAAAATGGGTGAAAGAGATTTGGCTACAACATTGTTCGGTTATTATCAGAATCTCCATAAATCCAATAATTGAAATGGGGTCAAGTATTCCATAAGTGTTATAGAAATTCTATTAAAAATATGTACTTTTTACTGCTTTGTTTTTATTAATATTCATATTTATAAGTCATTTGTATATAATCCTTTTTCTATTAGTCCATTAACTCTAATCATTGTTTACGCTTCCACATGTGAAAAAAGTGGTATAATGAAATAAAATAAAGTACTGGTCAAATCCGGTGATTATCCTAAGAGTTGCTTATCCAAAAAGCTTTTATCTCATACAAAATTTTGGTATTTTTGGTATTTTGGTATAATTTTTTTGCTTTTCTGAAACTATTGAACAAAACATATCAAATAACTATATTTTGCATTCTATAAAGTGATGATGTACTAAGAATATTGAATTTACGCCAATCTGATTACATATGTAGAACCATAAGCTTTGGATGAGATAAATATAAAGAAACACATTTAGATTCCTTACAATAAATTTAATGGAATTATTTTTAGTTAGTTGAACAATACTGCAATAATTTCTATATTGTTTGTTATTTATATAAGAAACAAAATTTGTGTAGTAGGCATGCAAGTAGGCATTTGTTTTCCTTGGGTCTGAAATATCTGCGCACTGATTTCGATGCTCTATGAATTGAACGCAGTACAGGTGCGTTCGAGGCATGCTCAGTTGTATTATACGTTGA